TTCGTTGTCTCGTGCACTCTGCACCCCCGGACACTGACAACACCGCGTTGTCCTGTCCGCCGCGCGACCCTCTGTCGTTGACACTGTCATCCATAACGTTCACGTGTCTTCCCTGATGCGACGCCAACGCCGACGCACAAGCACAAGCACAAGCACAAGCACACGCGTCATACTACTTTTTCCATCGAGGAAACTCATCGATTCGGAGCTCTTGTTCTTCGTAAGAATACCCAGCTCTATTTGGAGGGTTGCAAAATCGTGCGTGGATCAATTTCTTTACGAGAGGTGGGAAAACAAGCGGACAGGGTAGGAGTAGGTTTCGAGTTAGGGTGGCCGATTCGAGGGACGCGTTTCGAAGAGCCGGGAATATCTGAGTTACGCGGTGCTAATTAATTGATCCGTAAATTAGCGGGTAACAATGCTCGACCATCGTGTAACCAGCGAATCACGGAATTGCTGGCACGCGTGCGAACGTAAGAATATACATGATGTATGCGGTATTTCAAGTACCATCGTTCCACCACTAACCGTCCCCGTTGAATTCCTCTCTCTGTTCCAAATGCTAACACTCGAAGGGACTATTCCTCTCCTCTTTTAAAGGGAACCAACTTTACTATTTGCTCGCGAATCGAACGTTTGCGACCAGCGACTATGCTGCGGAAAGCGCGTCTTGCTTGAAACGCAAGCAAATTCCAACAATTTTATTATATTCTGACACATTATCCGTTTCTATCCGTCGACGTAATCTGTGCTGTATATTCCTTCGTAAAAAATCTCTACACCAATCCTGACAGAGACACGGAATTCTAACGGAAAGTGGTTGTATTATACATGTGGTATAATTAGCAAGGTAAAGCACGGTCTTGGTGCGATTTACGAAACGATTGCGCGAAATCGAAGATTAATCGTTATCGAAAGTTTACCGTCGGTTAAAGTCGATGCGATCGACAATCGAGTAAACTAGAGAAACTAAATAAAGGAAAAGGCACGCTTCTGTGTAAATGAGTCGAGGAAACAGTGTAATTTTCCAGTCCGTTTGGAAAGTGCGCAGCGGGCCGTGCAAGAAAGAAAATAAATGTCGGAAAAGAACAGCAGACCGAGAAGAGAAAGATGCCGTAGACACGCGAGTCAACCGGAAGGGGGAAGCAAATGTTCGTGTGCTTTTCACGAGATATTCCGTCGCAATTTTCGGTTTTCTGTAGCGCGTACAGTCTGTGCATACCTGTACCTGTACCTGTACCTGTACCTGTACCTGTATCAGTACCAGTACCAGTACCAGTACCAGTACCAGTACCAGTACCAGTACCAGTTGCCGGGTCGCAAAGGGTCGCAAATTGAGTACACCTGTTGCGACGCGTTCTAACCAGCCTACCTATTTTTAAGCTATTATACAATCCTAAATGTGCTTGGGAAAAGTTTACTTAGAAAAATAAGCATTGCCTCCTGTTAAACTACATACGTGGATGCTTCGGAACCTAGTTACGAATTTAACCAGGTAATTCAACTTGAACTCGGGACAAACATTTTCCATGCTTATCCATAAAATGCGTCGAGTCGATAACCACAACTTAACCTAACAGGGTGACTTGGCATTTATGTATGTAGGTAGTATACAATACATATGCATGTAATGTGTATGTATACTGACAAAAGCGAGGACGTTAAAAGGAATCGTCGCTTCCCTTCGCTTACAATCACCCCTTGGATTTTTCATTGGAGGAATTTATAAGCGAGTTTAGTCATCGGACCGATAGATAAACGTTTTAGTGCGTGCACAAACGGACAAGTCGAACGCGACCAAGAGGAACGTTTCGTTGCAATCCAATGCGCGGCGGCGTTATTGGGTGGAAGCACGATAAGCGAGGCGTCCTGGGTGCTCGACACTACACCACACCACCACGCAAAATGTATCACCGATAAATACGCGATCATAGTTACCTTGAAAATTGTACCTTGATTAAAAATAAAATGAAAGATTGCCATTGGTAGGAGCGGTTTTATAAACCGCTCGAGTGAAGGATATGCTATTGGTGGAATCGCGGAGCAAAACTTGCTTCGCTTGGTTGCACTTTCGAGCGCGGTCGTTGGTTGACCATTAGCGAGTTGTTGGCGTTTTTCCCCTTTTTGCCGCTTCTGCTCGACGTTTTTGCACAACTAGACACTGCCAGCCCGAAAGCTCATCGGGCTTCTTGCTCGTTTCTGTCGACATTTCGCGCAGACGGGATAACGATTTCTTCTTCTTACGAACGAAGGGCGATTTCGAGCCATCGGCATCGACGACGAACAAAGCGGAACCTTCGTCGGTCGAATCGAAATTGATTGATTGTTTTCTACCCGTAGCTTCGTAACGTATACGTACTCTTTATTTTATTTTATTTTATTTTATTTTATTTTTTCTTACGATTTGAAAGGACCGTTGATGATTCGTATTCGATCAAAATTTCAAGCTAGTCACATTAAATTCGTATCGAATCAAATCATGACAAATGACTTTCGGCTGGACTACGGAATAGAGAATTTTCGTTGCTCGCTGAAAACGCGCACGAAACTGTTAGCCGCTTTATCGATCAACTAATACACGTATCGCGCTACTGCGCGATAATGGTTTACTAATCCGATACTGATACCGACACCGCACCTCGATAAATAGCTCTGTTCATTGTTATTCCGTACTATTCTAATAATACGGTCGCAAGACTGGATCGATTACTAACCAAAGTACTTTTGATCTCTGTACCATTTCGATGCCAAAACTAAACCAATTCAACCAAGTTTTCGCGATATTAAAACGCAGTGCGTTCCACGTACCACTTTTCCGAAAATTTCTCAGCTCGACAACTTCTTCAAACTCGAAATATTACAAACTACATAGTATACGTATGTATGCACAACTACGAACACGGACAAACGGATAAAGGTTTCCAACGTTTCGAGACTCCTACATTTCTCTTCTAATTGCAACTTTTATTTTATGCCTGATTCCCTAATAGAATGCAACGGGATAGCATATCGATGAGTCATCATTGAATGTCAATAAGTAGAGAGCAGTTTGTGAGCGGACGTGAAATAATATTTGCGAATACGTTCGCATCCGTTCGTTTCCAATGCAAGGGCTGGAAGGTAGGACGAGAAAACGATTCGCAAACCATTCGTTTGCTCGGTTAATTAGATTTTCTGACCGAAACGCCAATTCGCGGCCGCGGCGTGGTCATTTAAGAAAACTTTTTTCAAACTGAGATAGCTGTAGAATTGATTACGTTGCAAAACGCCTACGTAACTATTTATTTATAAGATAGGCAACAAGAAAATGCTATTATTCCAACTCGTCCACGAAACGATGTTTTCAAGCGAGACGCATAGGTATTCGTTGTTCGAATCAGAGCCTGTCTACCCGACCGATCGTCGACCATCATTTTGCGAAACACGTAGGATTTCTCTGCATGCCTGATAGTTTCCCCCAGATGTTCTGGTATTATAGCGAATCGATAGCAACGGAATGTTTCGGCTACAAACAAGTAACACAAGTTGAAATGCAGTACCTCGCTGTTTCGTTACATTAAATACGTTAAACAAGTTGTTACGCCACGTAAAGGAACCTCGAGATTAATAGAATTCCATCGCCGTGATTTAAAAAACGCAAGTCATGGTTCCGCCGAGCCGTTCCTTTATAAAAATATCTGAATTTCGCGAGCTTACTGGCTGTCGCGATTCAACAGCAACAAGACATGCTGTATGGTACGATTAACGCGACGGTGGATCCTTTCCATAAATACTTAGCGACGCGAGAATGGTTAGCGAGACGCCAATGCGGTCGCCTTTAATTTGTGGGCCAACGTTACCTTAAATTTTCCTGTACGCCGCCGCCACCGCCGCCGCCGCCACCGCTCGAGAGCTTAGAGTGCTGTTCCACATCGTGCTCACTTCTGGTTTATCGGGTGTGCCGGGTTGGCTGGGACGATTAATTCGTTGGTTCGTGTCGCGGTTTTATCGCGATAAGCTTTCCACACTTTTTCGCGAAAACATTTTTCATCACAGTTTCAGTCACGATAGAAATTAATATCGATTCCGATGCATCGTATCGTTACTATCGCGACTCTATTTCGTTCATTGTTACGGCGTTCGCTCGTTTCAAGTGCACGATCCCCAAGTATAATCTAAATCCTGGTTAAGCCGCGTTACAACAATGTTGGTGTAAATGGCTCGCAACGTTGCCAGAGCGTAGTTTAATAATACACTGCGAACCGAAGCTAGTTAACGCGCGTATCGAACTACGTGCCTTGAAGCAAGGCTAACGAATACCACTGAGGCGTAAACAAAGAGAATGCTCGCGGTCGCAAAGTTTGTTCGATTATTCGTTCGAAACGTTTTACCATTTGTTTGTCGTCCAAGGTAAAGACGACGGTATTGACGATTACTTTGGAACTGAGAACAGTTAGCAGCTATAACAAATAGAAATACGTACCTACAAAAAGTTTGCCTATCATTGACTATGCTTAACGAAAGGAACAAGAAAAAGAGATGACCGATGGTGATCGGCGGTAGGCACTCGACAAAATAAACCGTCGTGTGTGCCAGTGGTCTGCGCGGCTTGGTCCGGCTCTGTCCGACCCGGCTTGGCCCCGGTCCGGTCGCGGCTGTAACCGCGTCTGTCCGATCAGCATGACACGGTGCATCGTCTGCGTAAATAGACGTCGGCGTCGGCGTCGGCGTCGGCGTCGACGTCGACGTCGAGGGCGGGTGGGTGGCCGGTGCCACCGGTTGCCACTTTGCAAGCAAAGCGTGCAGTGCACACTATCGCGGTGCACATGCGTACTCGAGTCCCGTTGCTTTATAGTATAGGTATCGAAGAGAACTAGAGAACACCCTTCCGCGCCCGGCGCGATGTCTACCATCCACCCCCACCGACCCGGTCCCGACCCGACTCGAACCTCGTCCCCACCCCGTCAGCCCTCTGCACAGACCTTCGGCTTTGGTACCGCTCATAACCAGCCGAGTGGGGGATAGAGCTCTCCTCCGCAGGCTACCCTCGAGGAGGATATCAAACTTAGTCGCAAAGCGTACGTTGTCGCGTGTGTTTGTTCGCGTGGCCGACACGCTAATCGGCGTTCGTCGCGAAACGTTCACCGTTCCGCTATCGCTGTCGCTATCGCTTTTGCTTTTGCTTTTGCTTTTCATTTTGCTTTTGCTTTTGCGAACGTCACGTTTACGCAGAATCGGATTTCGATTGTTCGCGTACCTCGGCCGAGTCGACTAGCAGTCGATTTTCAGTGTAATTTGCTGAGAAACGTTGATGGAGAAGGGCTGATCTCGTGGCAGTGACTTGTTGAACACGGCTTACGACAATGAGGTGATTATTTGAAGCAGATCCAACGCAAACGCAAACAACCAATCGAATCCGTACGAGATTTTTCATTCGAAACCGTTTCATTTCGTACAGTGTAAATGCGCGAACAATGCCCCGAACGGTACGAACAAGTATACATTTTCATAGGGAACGTACGATGAATTTTAATTAATCGTCTATCGAACAGTTTTGTATCCGCGATGTGGTTCTAACGCGTCAACTTTTTGATGCGCATCCCTTACGTTCCGTTGTGTGAAATTCGGTCGGCTTCAAGGACTAGATTCGACTAATCGTGTACGAAATTTCAATCGAGATGTACAGAATTTAATTTTAGAGTGCGGTTCACCGATAAATCTTGGATATTTCATCCAAAGATTAATGCGGTGCCACCAACTCTCATCTACCGAACCGACTTGCGTCTTACCGTGATAAATCTTTCAAAAATGTCACCAACAGCAACCGATTTAATCCACGATCTGCAACATTTGTATCTAGAATTTATTAATACACGGAGATGCAAATGTAGTCGATGATATAATTTCAATAGCGAATACGGAACAAACAGTTTCGTCGTTGGTACGAAGGAAGGAAGGAAATTGAGGAGCATCGGTGCGGCGTTTCCTATACCAGAATCAATATTTTTGCTGGTAGACGGAGATAGGTCTTGCGAAATATTACAATACCGAATTATGAGTCTTTTCCGTCGATCGAAAATCTCTAATCCGTTAGCACGCGCGTATATCCAACGAGCCAAATCGGTGAAAATTAATCTCTCGAGAGGGCAAGTCGCGAATCACTAGTGAACGCGAATCACTAGTGAACGCGGATCGATGAACCCGACGAAACGAAACGAAACGAAACGAAACGAAACGCGACGCGGCTCTGTTCAAGTACCTTGTGTTTTTTAGCAAGATGAACGGAGGATGTCTATTTTTTATGTGATCCGATACGAAGATTCATACATAATTCTGTTAAACGAATCGTGCGTGTTATTTATACGCAAATATAATTTTCAAAATTCTCTCAACCGACGCCATAGAAAAGGCTACGTTTAAAACACCGTTAAAAATAAAGTTTAATTGAACGGATCCTCTTGTTTGAAGATGCGCATCATTCGATGATGATCCCGTTGAATCGGGTTTGCGATTTTTATACCGGTCCGTTTATAGTAACGAACAATACCGGTAAAATGAGATAGGTCATTGAAATTCCTTCAGGCTGCGAGGAACGCGATTATCGTTACCAACGGGTCTGATCTCGTGCGTCAACCGTGCTACATAGGTTCTGACGTGCTGTTCCCCGCTAGTCTTCAATTTCTCGTTGTTTTCGCGAACCGTTTATCTGCTAGTCCTCCATTCTCCATTCTTCCTGCCTTTCGTTCTCGGGAAATGAAAGCACAACGGAGAAAAACTAGGGACAGGATTTCCGAACAATAGATGAATTTTATCTCCGTCTCGCGCCAAGGGTTGGCAGTTTGGTTGTCGGACCTTTTCAGCGACTCAGCGATTCGTCCAGCAAACTTTCAACTTGTAATTACCGTAAAGTGCGCACAAACATCGAACACGGTGTCGATTATGTGCCATTTTATTTCAGTTTTGGCTCGATGCAAACAATATGGCTAATTAATTAACTGTTATTTCAAGTATTGCATACGAATAAAGAGAAAAGTGGAGCTTTATTCGGCGGATCGAGAGCACTGTACCGAAAGTTGTTTTCCCGCGTGACGCGACGCGAAGCGACGCGAAGCGACGCGACGAGAGACACAACGCGACACAACGCGACACAACGGGCAAATTATTCACAACACCTTTTGTAATAGACCACCATCGTTCCGTACCGTGTTGCTCACGCTGAAGAATCGAGAGTAGAGTCGAGAAGAGGTAGTTATTTCAAACGTTATCGGTGGTTCGTTCACCGAACTAGCGAACAGACTGGACCAGATGTCGGCTAAATCCGTACCATTCGACGACTTTGGCCGCAGCAGCTCTTTTGCCTTCCTCCATCGTGGAGGCTCTCGTCTAAGTAAGATTGACGTTCGACGATCAAAGTGTCCCGAAAATCGCGGCCACGAAAGCTTGGAAACTGTATTTGGAACGAGCTGCAAATCGCTGACCTTGATATACACGATACATATACATACGTACATGTACATTCGTAACAGGTTTGAATAGGATGTGAGTGCGTCTATCGTTGACAATGTTGTTCGATTCTTTTTACGCAAAACGAAACGTGAAAGTTGGTAAATGAAAAGGCACGATAAGCTGAAAGAAGAGCGTGGCATTCCAAAAATATCGACACCGCAAACCGTGTTAAGGATTATATAAACTGTCCGTGATGACAAGATGGTGGAATACGCCGAGCGACGTGCAACGCAAGCCAGTCGAAAGTCGAAGTTCCAAGTTTAGCCAGATGACGCGGGTTAGCAAGGAGACACGAGTCCGAGCTTGGTATGCCTGTTTCTATCTAATACTAAACATAGCGTGGCGGGCAATGATCATTTTAGGAAAATCATGGCCCATACAATTCACTGTTGATCCCCGACGACTTGACTCGACTCGACTCGATGAATAAACATAGTCGTTTAAAAAAGAATATAATTATACGATTGCTGCGAGAATCTTGGAGATCGAACTTTTCCTGGCACGTGCAAGAATACGCGGGACAATCTTCATTTAGTAAAATCCGAGAAAGGCTGTGAAATGTCGAAAGCTGTGAAGAGAAGGACTCGTTGAATCGAAAACTGGTTGATCCAAGTTTTCGTCTGTTTTATAAAAATAAAGGAACCGCGAGCTACGAGTTTGAGACATTCCACGAGGTATAACGTTATCATTGTAACGGAGCAGTGTTGTTACGCGCGACGAATCTGTCAACGTTTATGGCAACGCGCTTGGTCATTAATCAACGCGAATCCTGGCAACAGAATCCCGCCAAGAACAACGCGACCATTAAGTTTCATGTTCCGCCACCTTTGTCCCGGAACAATAAAACGGTCGGATTGGCGCGGTAAGCTCGTTCGTGGTTGATTGAATGATTGCGAGGTGTTCGGCTGTTTAGGATGCCACCGGAAATAAATGGCAAAAGGTTTGAATAAATCTCGGAGCGTAGAACGATGCGCGATGATGACAGTATTAGAGAGAGCCGTCTCTGATCGGTACCGTGAATAATTTCCTATCGAATTACTCTCGTAGAGCTTCTGGTTACGTTACGTTGTACGTTTATTCTCCGTTAAAGTAGCTAATGGGTAAAAAGTCAGTCGGTCGCAGCAACGATGAAAATCCTGGCTCTCGAAGACAAAAGGAAGGAAGCTGGTTTCGCGGGGGTGGCTGGCGGGGAAGGCTAAAGATATGGAGACCGGAACGAAAAACTGTGGAAGGAGTCAGTGACTGTTAGCAGCTGGGGAAAAAGAGAGAAAGAGCGAAATTCTTCGACTGCGTAGCTTTCTCATTATCGCGATTGTTCCGCAATGGGTACCGGTCGACAATAGGCGACACAGTTTTTTCGTCGTGCATAAAAGAACGTCGTACTACGTCTCTCCTACTCCTTTCTATGCATGCTGCTTTCTCTCTCTTTTTAGCTACATTTCAAGTTGCTACATTATCCATTGTGCCAGAACGCAGTTGAAACAGGTCTACAAAAGAGTCGATAGTAGGTCATCGGCTGGTTTCTACACGCGCTTATTTACTTCCTCCTTGTTTCTCTTTTCTCGCGCCTTCTTGTTTGCACTCTCCGTCTCAAACACGATCAAAAACACGCACATTTTTAAACCTCCGTTTCGCAAACTACGACGACTGATCAAAATTGGATGAGTTGGCGAACCAACTTTTTAGACTGTCTGTCTGCAACCTTTGTTTTACAACGAAAATCTTTTAACGCTCCCTTTGCCCATTTCAGATTAACTTTTATATCACGGACGAGAATTCGGTGGGATTCCAGCACGCGCACGGACACAGAAAAGAAACATAATTTCGTCTCGGGAATAAAAGTACCAAGCGCATTTGCAGTTGGACTTGAAAGCGGCACCGACCTTCTCATTCTCATTTCGTCGCGTTGGCTCAACTATGCGGAGGTCAACAAGGAAATGCCAAGCGTAATTGTAATTGCGAATTTCAAAGTTACGATGAAATCGAGAAATTGTTCGGCTAGATCTAGGCAAACTTTAAAAGCGACAAAACGAAAGAACCGCTTTCTTATTCTATAATGTGTATTTTCAAACGATGCTATTCGATTAGGGTATTGAAAGACGAAGGGTATCTGAACGTGAACCTTGTGAAACGAAAAATAAAATTGCTCGAAAGGCGAGAAAATGTGTAGGATTTTGTTTCGAAAACAAAAGAAAGACAACAATACTATCAATTAAGGTGTACAACGGGACGAAAAGACGACCTGAATGCGGGCTGCAGATTAAAACCATGGAAGAAGAAAAGAAAAAAAGAGAATTGTACAAAGAAAGAAACACTGGTAGGATGCAAGGTGCACGCGAGGAAAATTATGTCGCGGAAATGTCGAGAATCTCGTGGCTGCTTTTCGTCGGTGAACCTAAAAACAGCCCTGTCGAGAGTATAGGTCGTGTCGGGAGACGCAACGACGCCAACGGAAGAGTAGACGAGATGAAAAAGATGAAATGGTCTTGTCACGCAATCACTGTCGAAACTTGTTCGATGAAAAACTTGTTTCGCTACGAAAATCCAAACTTTCGTTCCATTTCTTCTCCCCTGAATGATAGCGATACTTGTTTCGTACGTCGAAACATTGAACGTCAAAATGTCGGTAACGAATCGTGTCGAGCGAAAGTGAACAAGATACGTATAGTGTAGATGAAAAAAATTGAAATTTGCATACGTAGAATATACTATGTATATAGATGTTACTCTGCTATTGTATTACAATATACAGTACATCGGTATCCAGTAGTATAGCTCGATAATATGTCAGCCACGGTATAGCTTCTTTGGGAATATAACGACCAACGAATTTCGAAAATGGGTTAATGCGTACCGTTAAAA